TTAATATTTCATCCGTTTTTTTTACAAACATAATATTTAATATTTGTATTTCCTTTTATTTGTCTTCTTGATAAAATCATTTAGGAGTGTTTGTAGTATTGTGTATATTATTGATTTTCGTGATTTTACAATATTTCAAGATGTTCATATAATTTTTCATAAGTATTTAAAGATACATTAATTTTTGTGTTTGTTTCTACTAGAGAGATCCTTGATCATTTGTGAAAATCTGTAGCTCATTCAAATTCATTCATTGACACCAAAATTTTCTTTATGTTTTTAAAATATTAATTAAATAAAGCATGATTTTTACTAAAACTTTTTAAAATTTGTTGAGTAAGACAAAATTATCATTAAATTTCGAGATCAAAGAAATATCCAATCGAGAAAAGCATTTAAAATTGGTTCTATTAATGCATGGTTGCTTTTTTAAAAAAGTTAAAAATGTAGTATATGTTTATGTTTGTTAGTTATTTCAATACGAAACATATTAATGGGATAATTTGCTCAAAATAGAAAAAAAAATTATAACTTAAAAACTAACCAAAAATCCCAAAATCAATGATCTAGATTTTGTCATATATCCTATTTTTACTAACTTTTTAATTTTTAATTTTTTTATTTTATATACCAAAATGATCCAAATATTAATTACTTCTTATGTATCCATCCATTTGTTTCCTATATGTATACCCTTTAACCCCTTGTTCACCAAAACAAACTTTTAAATCCTTTCTTCTCTCAAAATCTGCTCAATATTGTTGTTTCTCTCAAAATTATATTATATGGTTTCTTTCAAATACACACCTATTTTCGAGATTCCTAATATTAGTATGTTGAAAACGATACTTCGTTCGGCTCGGGGCCATATTTATACCATACTTCAATTGAAATCAAGGTAAAACGCAAGCTATAACTTATAAGTTGTTATATAATTTTATGGACTTTATTTCTTATCGTTAAATTATTTAAAAATAATAAACTTTTTTTTTTTGTCTAAAAATAATAAACATACTACACTTCCACAAACTTTTTTATATTTATTTCTGGATTGACAAATGACAACTGTGGGCAATGAATAGAGTTGGTCCATCTATATATTAACTATTATACATTCTGTAGCAGACCTACTTTTATTTATTCATATCAAATATTAAATATTTAAATATTTCTTTAGATCTCTCTTTGTTCATGGGGCTGTCACAAAATGAGAGATCCACAAGTCTAGAATATGCCATCCTGAAAATCTTATATTAATTTGTTTTTATTAAATAACCGACACAAAATCAATTTTGCCGTATGATTTACTTCAATAAGAAAATGAGAGAGAAGCAAATTTCGATTTACATTTATTGAGTGTTTTTTTTTTCAGTTGAAATAACATTAATCAACATGGAACCAAATCTGCATGAGTTAGTTTATTACGGAATTAAATGGTTTAAAATTATTTTTTACATATAATTAAGGTTTAGTTGACAAAAAAATTATTTTTTACATATAATTAATTTTCCTTTTCGAATATATAAACATATAATTATATTTTAACTGGAACAAAATTCAATTTGGTTTTTAGTTGATTGGTTTGAATCGGACAAAATACTCTCCGGTTTACACATTTGATTATTGTTACAATACATGATTTTGAGTATTATTGTTAATAGTTTTGGCTAGGTTGCATGGAAACTCCACCCAAGATTTGTTTCCTGTTTTGGAAACGTTTCGGAAATGGAAACGCGATGGAAACACGTTTCTTAAATATTCCAATTTGGAAACGTTTTGGAAACGCGGCCGAAAACGTGTTTCCAAAATTGGAAACGCGACTTTTGGTTTTGAAAACATATTGAATAAATATTTTGAAAATATAGGGATTTGTTTTTCGTTTTTAATAAGTTTTAAAACCTAATTATTATTCACTAATACAATCTTTTTCTCTAATCATCACCGTAACCTAAAAAAGTAGAAGAATCGAAGAGATAAACAAAATATTTTTTTCAATTACAGTAGATTTGTTATTGATTATTGAAATCATGAAGTCGTTACATAAACGAAGTGTTTTTTTGTTCGAGTCGGATTGGATTTATGTTGTTTCAAATATTTTAAAACCATTGATATATTTTGTTCCATGGTATATATA